AATCACTTTTTCCCTTCAGACGGACCGTATTCAAACATTCTATCTGTTTGTCCTGCAAACTGGCAGTGACTCATAGCGATGACGATTTGTGCAAAATTTTGCAGGCCAAAGGTGCTACACACATCGGAACTTTTTTATGTTACAAAAGTGATGGATTCTGCAAAGCGACCTCCTTTAATAAAGTAAAATCTGACTTTGTTGACTTTTTTGAACACAAAAACTATCTTTTGAACACAAAAACTATAGGAATCGAGATAAATTGGGTTGAAGTTGCCTTCCCCCAAACTGTGTCCCTGGATTCCTGGGACCCAAACGCAGTCAAAAGTGACGCTCAGCTTTCAAGGTTACTGTATTCATCTCGAAAGATTAAAAAAAACATTTTTGTAAAATAATAATCTTGTTTTATTTTTTCAAAATTATAACAAATACATACATATACATACAAATTTCGAAGAATTACAAATTACAGAATAGTCAAAATAAGAATTCCTGGATTCCACTGATCACAAGAAATACGAATATCATTAGAATTCTTAGCAATCAAAAGATCTTTAATAGTCGGGATATTCCACTTAGAATGTTTTCCACAACCCGTCTCGATCGATGCTCTCTTCACTAGGCTTTTCTTCATCTCCACGACAATTTCCTCGATGTACGCCTCAGCCCCATTTCTCGTCACCCCATGTAGATCATAATAGTGATCTCCTCTTGGCTTTGTCTCGTTGTATTCGCGAACCGTCTTGTTGATCTCCTCCTCAACGTCCAGGGCTTTCTGGGAACCTTCTGGGTGCAGCTTTTTTAAGAGAGTCTGAAAGTTTTTTCAGTTCGATTACTGTAGTTAAAAGTCTAGAATCTTACATGAAGCGCTTGCACCTTCTTGCTATGTGCATCCTTCTTCTTTTCAATATCCACGGCTTTCAGGTAGACTGGTCCATCCTCTTTGTGCAAAAATTGGCATCGGCCTCCGAAGGGACAGTCTCCAAGGTTTCTGCAGATCATGGTTTTCCATCTGGGATCCTTTGGTGGACTTTGAGCAGCTCTTTTCAGCTTCTTTGGCTTATGTGCAAAATGCCGTTGCTTCCTTTTGGGCATTTCCTTCCAGAGGCGTAATGGGTACAGAGGCGGGTTTTGAAGCCCGCGGGCTTCTGATTTTCCATTTTTTCGTTAACTTTATTTTTTAATTTCGTTAACTTCATTTTTATTTTCGTCAACTTTATTTTTTAAAATTGAAAGCTTACTTTTATCTTTGAACTTTTCAACCACAAAAAAAAATACAGCTAGAAATCCGCCCTGCCACAGCTCAGAAGCCGCTTTAATCCAGCCCAAAAATTGCGGGCAACAGCAACTCTAAAAAATCAAAATTTCAGAATCAAAAAAGATCCTTGGAAAAAATTAGAGAAGAATTTTCAAAATTAGATGCTATAGATATTCCACAAACAGAAAATATACAGCTAGAAATAGAATTAGGTATTCGAAAAACATGGTTTTTGGAAAAAGTGAGAAAGAAGAAAAACGTTTTTACTGCGGAAAAAAATTGATAAGAACATTTTAGTGATGATATCAGTGATGGATGATTATTGCGAAATTTGTCATTTCAAATTTTCAGAAACTCAGGAATTAAGGAACTCAGAAATTCTAAAATTCTGAAAAATTCAATCAGGAGAACAAGAAAAAAAAAGATTCACAAACAAAAATTCGCAAACAAAAAAATCGAGAGAAAATCAATAAATTTTCGAAATTCTCAATGAAGATCCGGAATTATAAACTTTGGGTTTTCCAATCAAAACTCTGAAATTCTCATTGCTGGACTCCTCTCGGAGTTTCGAAGTTGACGGTTTTGGAGATCAGAAAAATGAACTTGGCATTCTTCCAATGTCTTTTATCCAAAAAAAATGGGAAATGCATTTAAATGGATGAAAAGAAATTTGCCAACTTTTTAGATTCCATAAGAGAATCAATTTCAAAATTGAAAACTCTGAAATTCTCCATTTGAAAAAGTTACAAAAGCTCAAGAAAGAGTTGAAAGAGACGTTTTGAAGGTATAATGTTTTTTAAGTTTCTCCAAATTTAATTAATTTGCACAGAGAACTAACTAGCCTCCACGGATCCACCTACTATGCTTATCAATCTGTTTATGAAGATTGGGAAAATATCAAAAAGTTATCTGAAACATTTCCAGACAGAATATTCCTATTCATTCTTCTCAAAACAGTGGTTAATGTTTCTGACATTTCTAGCTGTATATTTTCTGTTACCACGAAGGGTAATTTTTTAAAAGTCTAGAATCTCACATGAAGCGCTTGCACCTTCTTGCTATGTGTCTCCTTCTTCTCTTCGAAATCCACGCCCTTCAGGTAGACTGGTCCATCCTCTGGGTGCAAAAATCGGCATCGGATTCCTAGGTCATTAATGACTTATAAATAAAAGTGTTAGCTTTAAAATCAACACTTTGAATTTTAAAGCTTATGAATCAAATTATACAATTTAAGAAGATTTGAATGAAAATCACTAATGGTAAAGATCAAAATTAGAAAATTTTCAAATTGAGGACACAAAAAAAACTTACAGTGATTTCATGGTGTCGTACATTCGAAGGAAGCTGGTGTTGACTGGAGCAAACATGATTTTTGGTAAATCTGAAAATATTGGAAAATTTGAAAATAGTCGACAATTGAAACTATATTTTTAAGAGCCAAAGTAAAAGCTACACAATACCCAAAAGATTTAAAACTAATTAGGACGGCTCAAAAGTGTCAAAAAGAAAACGAAAAAGACATCTGAGAAAGATGTATACCAACAAATCTTGTTAAGTTAATCACTTCCGATTCTGATGGGCGAATCCAAAAGGTGAAGACAGTTTTTCTGATAATTACAGTACCACCTGCCATTTTCATTGGGTCCCATGAGAACATGTGTTCTTTCCAGGACCATCCCTCGTAGATGTTGACGAGGTGAAGACAGTTTTCAGTGAATTACAGCACCTTCTCATTTCGTAAAGTCCCATGAAAACATATGGTCTTCCCTGGACTATGCGAAAATACATTAATCCAAAAAAAAGAAAATCTAGATGATTACCTAAAATGGAAATCTAGGTCTTGACCTAAAAATTGAAATCTAGACCATGACCTGAAAATTGCAATCTAGGTCATTAATTTTTTCAAACTACTGTACCTTTAAGCTTACAGTAATATAGGATTATGTTTAGTATTCACAAATTATTGAAAAAAAAATTAAAATTCAAAGATTTATTAAAACAATAAAAAGTGTCAAAACAATTCGGTATAACGATTCAAAGTCATTTTTCCGTATTTTCAGACAAAATATGATAAATTGTAAAGTTCTTCAAATATCGAATTTTTTCGATTGAAATCAATTTTTGGATTGTTTCTTCGAGAAGATCCGTCATTCCATACTTTTGGGCATGATCCAAGTGACGTTGTCTGAAAACTTGGAAAAATTCAGTTTTTTGAATTTTAGGAATTTTTGGAATTTTCATCATTTTCTTAATTTTTGGAATTAGACATTTTTTTAAATTCTTAATTTTTGGAATTTTTGTTTTATCATTTTTTTTTCTCGCAATTTTCGGAATTCTTGAAATTTCTAATTTTCATTTTTTTTCGGAATTTTCGGATTTTTGGAATTTTGAAAATTATTATTTTTTATTTTAAAATTCGAAAAAAAATGATTGAACAAATGACGAAAATTGTTTCTTTCATTTTGGTTTTTTTATGAATTTTCATATTTTTCCAATTTAGCAACTCTTTCCAGCCAAATTTCACCGATTATAGATGATTTTTGACTTTGAAAATTACAAAAATAAATGAAAATAAAAAGAAAATTTAAAGGAACATTAGCTTTTCGGAATGAGTCTCGACACGAAACAGTAGTCTTTTTATTTTTTTTCTGTTTTTCAGCTTAATTTCCTTCGATTTTTGGGTGATTTTCTTCGATTTTCATCAATCTTTTTTCAGAAAAAATGGCCAATGAAGTCATCAGCTATAAAAGCGACCCGAAAATAATCGATATGAAGTCGCATGTCCTGGATTCGAGCACTAGCAATAGCTTAAAATGGTTTTTTACATTTTTAATTCGATTTTTCCGTAAATTAGCTAATTTTTAGTATCTGGAGTGGATTTGTGATGAAAAAACGGGGTCCGATCAGTTTTTCGTGGACTTTTGACCTGCAAGAATGGAAAAGTGCTGGATATTCTGGATTTACTGGTTATATCCTAGTTAAACCAGTGCTGAACGACCAGAAGGCGTTCCCAACGATTCAAATTGGTTGTGACCTGTCGAAAAGTGTTCAAATGGTCACAAGAACTCTAAAAACTGATGGAGAGAAGAGAAAAAGCGTGGGCGTGATGTTTGAGTACTATTTGTTGCCTATAGTGAATCCGGAGCTGGAAATTGTGTTTCCGAAAGCTCCAGAATTCGTGGAAGTGGGTCCAGCGACTCCAGAAGTGAGCTCCAGCAACGAAGTGAGCGAAGAAGTGGCCTCCTATGGTGATTTGTTCCTTCCATCGGAGAGAAATGACACAATTTTGGTGGTCGGCGCCAAATTGTTGTACGTTAATAAGAAGGTGAGGCTTGGAACAGATGGAACAAGCGAAAAAAGAACGTCAAAAATCGTTTTTTTGCTCAAATTTGGTTAAAATTCGCTATTTTTAAGCCAAAATCCGAAATTTGGGTCTGCTAGTGGTGAATTATAGTTTGTAGTCTAGAAAAACAGATGTAATCCTGCTAAATCATCATTTGTAGTTTGTAGTGTGGCAGACCCATTTCTTTTGTTAAAAAAAATATTGGTCTGCTAGACTACAAGTTACAAAAGTCCTCATTTTTGAATTGGTATGCTAAATCAAATGTGTAGTTTGTAGTCTAGCAGGCCAACGAAGCATTTAATTTTTTGTTCACAAAAATATTGGTCTGCCAGACTACAAACTACAATACTAGAGCTAGTAGACCCACGCCGCAAACATTCAGCTGATTGCGACTTGGGTCTGTTAGACTACAAACTACAGGAATTCAAATTTCTGCAAAAAACCTTTTTTCAGTACCTCTCCTACTATTCCGACTACTTTGAAGCACTTTTCACGTCTTCTGAAGACAACGAAAAGAATCTAAACCTACCGTATTCGATTGATGACGTGGAATACGATGACTTTGAGCTCCTTATCAGAGCCATTTATCCGGATATCAAGTTTCCAGATTGTAATTTTTTTTTAAACTTTTTTCAGTTTCGAATTTCTGATTTCCAGACAAATGTTACCCGAAACTTCTCGAACTTGCTGAGCGCTTCAAAATGCCAGTTATCACTCAAAAAGTGGAAAATCGACTTCTGAATACTACGAAATTCGAAATCCACGAATTATTGCTCATGGCTGATAAATACCGTATGCCACGTCTTCTGGAGCGAGCAATTCTGATGATTAATTCGACGGAAAAGGCCAAAAAATTGAAGGCGTCGGCGGAATTGGCCGAATTGTCTCTTGAAACCAAAGGACACCTTTTCGAGAGACTCATCATGATAATTTGATTTTTATCTATTTTTTGTTAATTCTTATTTGTTAATTTGTTGATTTTTTGTAAGAAAATTGTTTTTTTTTCTATGCTTTTGAAAGTGTTCTGTCGTTTTATCAGTTTTTTATTTGAGAAAACCGTTTAAAGGAGGACTCCGACCAAAAATTTTTATTGCATTAAAATGTGTTAAAATTTATCTATTTTCCGAATATTATTGCGAAAAAATTCAAAAAATTTGGTACTAAAACTGAAATTTCAGCACTTTAGAGGACTCTTAAGCAGATTTTGAAAACGGATTTATAGGTTTCAAACATGCTCTTTCATTCTCTACGGTTGGTTTATGCGAATCAGCCAGACAACTTAAAAGGTTCCCTTGTAAGTTTTCAAGATTGTATTTTTATATGACTTAATTTTCTAGGCCACCAATTTTGAATTTCTAAGCCATCCCGCACCTGTTTCATCCATGAAAAGAAGAACCAGATTTTTTTTCTAAATCAGAAAACCCATTTGTTATCAATTATTATTTTATTATAGAAAAACTTCCAAAAGGAAATATGATCAATCAAAATATACAAACAGCAAGTAAAATAGATAAATTACAAAATATAAATATCAAAAATACAATTAAATAGACAATTCCAAAATGCCATCATTACCTAATTGGGGTACAAAAGAGACACCATTAAAACCATTTAAATTATTTAACAAGATAGTTCGGATAGCTGGGAAATTGTTAGTGGAATGATTACCACGACCTGTTTCTAGGAGGGATTGGGGGATATTGTTGGAATTCATATAATTAATTATACCCAAAACATACTTAATTGCTCCACCAGTTGTCATGGCGTGCAGGTCATAATAGTTTTCTTTCTTGGGGTGGGTAAAATTCCAGACTCGGACTTTCAGGTTGATTTCGTCCTCCATCATCTGGCGCTCATTTGGATCTGGCGATTGGAGTCGTTGAGCCTGGAAGAATGAGGAATTTGAATATTGAAACACCTTGAAGTTCAGACAAGTCCCTTTGGGTTGCCTACATCCCCAAAAATATTTAAAAACTCACATGAAGAGCCTGACACTCTGCCAGATGCGTCTTCAGCATTCTATCGAACTCCAAGGTCTCCGAGAAAAGAGCCTGGTACAGCTCACCATCCGACGGATGGATGAATTGGCAGCGCTGTTCATAGAGGCACACTTCAGACCCGGACTTTGAGAAGTTGGCGCACAACTTGGTCTTGTGCCTCTCCGGAATCTTCTGCTCCTTCTTGGCTCGATTTTGTGCCACGGTTCTGAGCTCCTGCAAGCCATGGGCAAATTGACATAGTGGTCCTTTTGGGCAACATGCACCAACTGTGAAGTGATGGCACAGTTGGGTCTTCCAGTTCCATGGAACTTGACTGAAAATATAAATTATTATGTGATAGCTGCTGGAAAGACTTTTTGGGCTCTATATTCTTTATAACCAGATCCCTGATTCAATAATAAAAAATTTTGAGTTTTGGAATATGGGAATTTTCGGAATTTTTGAATTCTCGAGGTTTCGAATTTTCGAGTTTTTTAGTTTTTGAATTTTGGGGTTCGGGAATTCCGGAATTTCTAAATTTTTGAATTTTGGAATTTCAGAACATTGGAATTTTGTAAATTTTTAATTTTGAAATTTAGATGTTTAGATTTTCGGAGTTTCGTAGTTTTAGAATTCAAGTATTTCCGAATTTGGAATTTTTCAAGATTTTAGAATTTTGGAATTTGGGAATTTGGAAATTTTCAAATTCTCGAATTTGGAAATTTTGGAACTTTGGAATTTAGAATTTTTGAATTTCAGAATCTTCGAATTTCAAATTAAAAAAAACACTTACGCTTGTGGAACTGGGGAACATCCATAAGACGCTTCTGGAAAGACGTCGGTGATCCGGCAGACGACGACTGGTGAGTTGTACATGATTCTGAAAATTTATATGTTTTGACATTTTGAATTTCGAAACTTTAAGTTTTGTTTTTTATATTTTTGTCTGAAAAACCTCAAATTTGGTTTTAAAAGTTCTCCTGAAAGTGGAATTTTTGGTATAAATTTAGCCCAATAAATATACATGAAATCCTGGAATCCCAGATTAGAAATTTCGACAACTTTGGGACCTCAGCTTCAAAACTTCCAGAAAAACAGATTTTTAGAAAAAAAAAATAAATCGATGGACAACAAAAAAAAAGAAAATCGAACAATTAAACTTATGAACGATATTACTGTCATGTGAGGATTTTGCCAAGTAAGCTCCGCCCCTTTTTTCCCATCCTCTTTTTGTCATTTTCTCCTTTACCAAGCCATGTTCCAGGTTCGGCCACCTGCCTTGGCTATATCTCGGAAGTACGGTCCATCAAACTGTTCTTCAGGGAAAGATATTATAGTTCAGTGATCTCCCTTGTCTATCAAAAAAGAACTCCTGTGTTTTTATGTACTAAATTAAGACACCTGTCTTCACATGCTTACGGTATTCCCTATGGGAAAATATGTTGGTTGGGGAAAGAGTAGAAATATGGTATACTGTAATCATGGGTTTTCCAAAATTCAATGAAGTTTCCCGGGTCGTGACCTAGATTTTGATTGAGTTTTGGGTCTAAATTGCTAATCATTACTAATAACATTCACCAGATTCTGTATGTGCGTATGTATGTAGCGCACCTCATCACCCATTCAAAGTTAACCGATCAAGCTGAAACCTGGACAGATAGATCAGAATTGTGTCTTAGTTGATGCCCAAACTGTTGGTTTTTCAAAATTTTGATTTTGGAGTCTTCTGGAGGCGTTCCTTGGTTTCACCTCAGTAAAGCGTGGTGGGCAGAAAGGTCGATGGTTGAGGGCGACCGGAGGCCAGGAGGTTCAGCCCCGAAGGGGCGTAAACCGACTGGTTTTATATATTTACCACTGTGACAGGTTAGGATTCTAAAAATCACTGGAAACTCAAAAGTCCAAAAGTGCAATTTTTTAAGATATAAGTTTTATAACATCAATATAAGAAATACAAAAACTCAAAGTACAGTAAGAACAAGAACACCGTCATTATTGGGGAGGGGTACAAGAGAGCATCCATCATAATTATTTGCCAAAAGTGAAATTTTAAGAGCCGGAAAATTGTTCGACGAATGGTTCCCTCTTCCGACCTCTATTCTCGATTCCTTCACATTTTTTCGAACCATCGACTTCAAAATATCGGCAATGTAGACGTCTGCTCCCATCCTAGTCATTCCATGTAGATCGTAGTAGTTCGGACCACTTGGGTGGCTTTTATTGAATTCTCGGATTTTCAGGTTTATCTGAACTTCAATTTGGAGAGCTTTTGGACCGCCTTGGAGTCGGTGGATCTGAAATTTGGATTGATTTGTTTAAAGAGTCATTAATATGTTGTTTTCAAGGAAGCTCAACTTGCAAAAGTTAGGCTACTAAATCTTAAAAATCTAAACATTCAAGAAACAAACTCACATGAAGTGCCTGGATCTCCTTCTGATGCGCTTCCTTGATTCTCTGAAACTCTACAGTATCCGCAAAACGTTCCTGGTACAATTTTCCATCGGCTGGATGAATAAACTGGCACCGATGCTCGTACGGGCAGTATCCAGAGCCACCTTTGTAATAATTGACACACAGTTTCGTTTTTTGGTTTGCTGTGGTTTCCGGTTGGGGTTTTCTGGGCCAAAAAGCCTTCTCTGGCGCCTGGAGCTCCTCTGGGAAGTGAGCAAATGAGCACATGACTCCTTTTCGGCAGATTCTTCTGGCAATGACGTGGCGACACATTTCAGTCTTAAAATTTTTGTGCATTGGCGGCACATTTTGGTTCTCCTTGTCATCTACTGGAATATCGAAGAATTCTGTGCACTGCCCAAGGTAGGAAGCTGGGAAGTACCTGAAAAATTAATTCCATTTTAATATTATAGAAAACACATCATTTTAGGCAATTTCTAGGTCATTTTACTATGGTGGCCTACAGAAATTCAACTTTTATAAGTTAGACCACCTCATTAAAATGGCCAAAATATGAGAAAAAAGCATTTTGGGAAAGCTCTTTAGCTCACAGTGAAAAAATGGTCCGAAAAATTTTAATTTGTCTGAAAATTTCAGAGTATAATAAACAAAAATAGAGCTTCAATTTTGTAATTGACAACTTTTTTCTAGATTTTG